AAGTTGCTGTTAATTTGTGAAAAATATGTAAAACAAAACGGGTTAAAATATAATACTAAGAAAAGTGAACTGTTGATATTCAGGTTACACTTAATGGCTTACCTCTAATAGTATAATTATATTATTACAATATTATTGTTTTTAATTTTTAATCATTTTTCTTTTTTTGTTGCCAACTCGTTTGGGATGGCAATTGTTTTCTTCCGAACACGTATTCGGAGGAAATAGATTGCTGTCTCAAATATAAGCAAGTAAAACTGTTTACTTTAAATTGAAAACCACGATGTAATCTATACCGAAAAATAGTGTATAGCGAAATATGTAATCGCAACTGGCACTCACAGGACAGGCTTGCCTAGTGTGGGGCCACCGGCAATGTATCACATATTTTGTACATTTCTTTTTGGTAATCTATACTGATATTATAAAGCTGAAGAGTTTGTTTGTTTGTTTGTTTGAACGCGCTAATCTCAGGAATTACTGGTCCGATTTAAAAAATTCTTTCAGTGTTAGATAGCCAATTTATTGAGGAAGGCTATATATCATCACGCTAAGACCAATAGGAGCGGAGCACCAATGAAGAATGTTTCAAAAACGGAGAAAATTTATTACTATTGAGAGACGCAGACGAAGTTGCGCGGGTCAGCTAGTAAATGATATATTTATTTATTTATTATTGTGACCGAGGACTTGAGGGATAACTTAGATATAGATAGGGAACGCAGGGCATTGGCTGTGAGGGGAAACAAGGTGGCCCGAAGGTTTTCTGGTTGCTCTGTACCTGTTAAAATGTCATTGTTCAAGGCATATTGCCAAACATTTTACACCAGTAGTCTTTGGGTTAATCATACCCAAAAATCGGACAATGCTCTGCGTATACAATACAACAATGCCTTCAGAGCGTTGTTGAGGCTTCCCCCGTATTGCAGTGCTTCAGGCATGTTCGCTGATGCACACATTTATGACTAATACGCAATAATGCGTAAGAAGGTAGCATCCATTATACGCAGAGTCGGGATGAAAACCAACGGCATTCTGAGAGTATTCTGACAGATACGGTGGATGGGCCTGTCAGGGCAGATTTACTAGGTTACATGTGTTACATGTAGCTTAGTGGAACGCCCCATTGTATACAGGTACTCTTCTACATTTAGTTTTTAATATTATTTACTGACATAGTTTTTAAATTGTTAGTAATACTAACACTATGGGCCTGGATTTCTGAAAATAAATATTTTTTTATTTAATATTGTTTGCATAATGAATGGAAATTTAGTATCATTATTTTCATAACGGTTTATGGCTTATGTTATTTAAAGGATCTGTTATCGTATTCAACTTATTAAGCTTAGTATTCCCAAGTGTGTAATGGATTAATGTTCGTACTATATAGAGAATGAAATTCTTACCATTTCAATTTTCTGTTAAAGGCATGGATAAAAGACTCTTATCGAGTTAACCTTTTTACGAGTGCTTGGTAACGATTCCACCAATTTTATTTGTATTAACTAATGGTGAGGTTAGTAAGTGTAATTGTCTAAGGAAATTATTATTTTTATTTATTTACATTTTATGTACAAATGCGACAAAGGCGGACTTAATGCCGTAAGCATTTTCTCCCAATGAACTTTAGGGCGATGCAGAGCATCTACCATATGCACAAAAAAAAGTTTTTTCTGAAAAATATAGCATAAATAAGATATCATATACCCAGAGTACTTATATTAATTACACTAGAATATTTTTTAATAAATAATACATATACAATAAGTAATATTGATACTAACACACACAATACAAAAGTATTTATTTATACATATGCACCCATACATACATGTAGTTATATTATACCTCTTCAAAGTGTTTGTGTTCAATTTTTTATAATTAAATACATCTGAGGGCCGTTAGAAATCGTCAGAAAAGTTAGTCGCAAACTATTTGCAACAGCGGGATCTGTGCGAAGGCTACGGAACTTCATTTCCACCAATACTAAAATTGTGCTCGCAGAATCTCTTCTTCTTCCCATCATTGACCATGGCGATATCAGTTATCTGGATCTCACTGAAGACCAACTGAATAAATTTGAGCGACTCCATAACTCCTGGATTAAATTAATATTTAGATTACGCAAATTTTGCCTAATACATTTTTTTTTATAATTTACATCTTCATTTTTCTTTCTCATCTTTCTTTCTAGTTTTTTCTATGAATTCTGATGTTATCCTAGACTATTATACCTTTTTAGATAGCTCACAATACGTACCTATTAATATAATAATATGTTTTTAACACACTTGCAAGTGTCATAGATTTCTTTATAAATATTGCTCAAAGAAAAAAATATTTTACGAATTACTTTCACAAGAACTTAAAACGGTAAAGAAGTCACCCTAATTCCACGATTTGCTATTCACAAGTCGAGTCGAGGTTAGTCCAGTCGTAGTAGAGTAAGAGTTAAGTAAACTCGTATAAACCATTTTTTTTAAAATACTAATAAGTTTATTGAACCATCAAAGTTACATTTTGATTAGAGCTCTATCTCCTAAACCAAGTTAATTAACCTGTATCTTAGTAGTCAGAGCCTTCCTTACTAGAGGTACAATGGTTATTAGCTCGGTTTTCAATTTATGCGATAAGTTAAATAAAAGAACAAAGGAAAAAAAAGATGACAAACAGATTAAATGTAATTAAATGAGTATATAAACAAATCAAGGAATTATCATTAGCATTCTGGTACATTCAAATGCAATAATGTTTTTTTTTTAATATTATACAATACAAATTATGATAATGGAATGTATCTGTAGACGCGTGTGTGTGTATTTGTGTGTGAGAGTGAGTGGAAGTTTTTTTGATGAGCATTGCCTTTTGCTTTCTCGTTTATTTAAACTGGTTGCCCAGAAGAGATTCAAGTAAGTGTTCCTCAAACTTATGTCTACTTAATTTCTCCGAGCTTTTGGCGTATAACCGATTATATAAACTCGTTGTTAAGTACTCATATTGACGCTGGCCAAAACTGGATTGAACTTTTGGTACGGGGCATCCAAATCGTCTTTTGCAGCACTGCGCAGCCAACTGGGACTCCGCCCAGCACACGCTGTCAGTCTGCCCCACGTGGGCGTCTGAATGCGCCTGGTTGACCAAATCGGACGAGACCTGTCTGTAAAGCTGTAATGCTCCAAAAAGAGACCGATGAATGATAAGAACGTCGGCGGCGACACCAGCCATCGACGGGACCGTAGGCTGCCAGAGAGTGAGAACCTCTGTCAGCAGATTAATTGCTTCGGTTGACCATAGGATGGCGGCCTGGTCATGAACCGCAACATAAAGTTATTGAGCTGATAGGCAGGGGGAAGCCCGAGACTTCCTCGGGATAGGGCCTTTCTAGGTGCGGCTTCGATCCGGGAGGGACCTGAAGTAACATGGTCGGGTCCTCCTCGGAGTTGGGTCCATGTGACCGTCGGGGTGGTTTTTAGTATAAATACCACATACTCCAGGCTTCTGCGTCCCAGAGGAGCTGGCGATCCGAAGGGATTTTCCAACCCGTCAACAAAAACAAAAGGTAGTTATAATGGCGTCTCGGTGGTATCTTTGTAGCACTTTGCAACCATACGTAGAGTTTACGAATGGTTAGGACCTCGGTACATGTATAGAGATATTTTTTTTGGTACACAAGTACTTTTAAGGTTTCAAGTTGAGCACGTTCAAGTTCGATGATTTTTGATGATTTCAATCCAGTATATATGTTTTGTTTATTCCTTTTTTTATCTGTTATGTAACAAAGACAATACAGTGATAGGTTAAGTTATATTCATCAATAAATTAAAAAAAGACATTAAAAACTGTCAAAGTTCGAACGCCACTCGATTTCTAGTAATATTCGAATATAAAAATAGAATAAACAGTTTACAACATAGGGAATCAAGATGTCATGTATGAAGATGATACAATTATGGCAACGACACCTGAAGCGGGAAACGGCTCCCAAAACGTAACCAACTTAATAAAGCAGGTCAAGCTATTCTGGTTCAAATTGTAAACCTTCACCTTTTATTAACCGAAGTACCGAACTGAGTTCAAAGTGTTACTGCAAATACAATCGTTTATTGAAGTCAATTCGGGATCCTAAATTTTGTATTTTGTATCAAAGCACTCATTTAAAGTAAAAAAAAGAACTCATTCACGATCCTTCAGCCTTTGGTGGCTTTCTTTTTTTGCTGTTTAACTATTATTATGTCTGACGCTTAACCAGTCATTACAGAGAATTATATACTTATACACTATTTTAAGTAATTCTAATCTATTCTAATTAGGTGAAATGCGATTTTGAAGGCAATCTAGGATTAGCATTCATAACAGAAGCTACAGTTAAATTATGTTCTTACTATTTACCGGGTCAGATTAGTCTCTACTAAACTATTTTAATTGTGCTTAGATATAATGAATACTCACTACTTTACTCTAATAAACTATGAATTAAGTTGAAATAACTAGAGTTGAAATAACACAGATTTGTTGGAACGAATTTGAATAGTGATCTTTTATGAAACCTGGAATGATAAGTACATCGCTCTGCGTAGTAGGTGAGTCATTTTAAACATTTCTTAAAATACAATGCGCTACAAGCTTAAATAAAATATTGAGAATCTTTTATCCTAGTTCAGAAAACATAAAGTTTATTCGACAACGAATGTGTTACTTTTTGCATTACAAAAGAAATTCTCTCATAATCGGCGTGAGCGAGTAACAATAGTGCACCGATGTACGAGTAAATTACACTCTGCTAGTGTGCTATCTCTGAAATAAAACAATAACTTTTATGCTACTTTTGATTTAATATAGATCTTTAGAACAAAAAACTACTGCGCAAAGGAAATGTTTTGGGAGGAAAACTTAAAACAAAAACTTATAGATGATCTTTATTCTAAATTAACCAGAAAGGTTGCGTAATTTTCCATTCAAAAGAAATTTCCTTTAACGAAGACCTAATTTTTTATACTATGGAATACTTTGAAGATGCAAATAAACGGTTTGTACAATATAGGCCATTTGTTGCAAAACATCTGCTGCTGCGGTTGATAAAGAACTTAAGAAGACCTTTCCATAACCAACTCCGAACCTTAACGGGAAACGAAAGCAACTGGGGCTATTTAGGGCAAGAGGTATGGTCGACAGTTACAAGCAGTAAAGGGACATTAAAATCATATTTTTAATCTTCCAATATATATGAAATGTTTATTCTCTCTACAAAAGAGATACATATTTGTCATATTAACCAAAGAAGTATAAAAATCTTATAGAAAGTCAAACTCAGCAGGTAGTGCAGGTCTGGCAGTCATTAAAGCTTTTAACGCAATGAAAGGGCCACCAATACACACGTATGTATTATAGTTAACAAAATCAAAAAAATATTTACTAATAATAATATCAGAGACCCTTTAATTTGGTTTATAGTACATGATTTATTTTTTTAAAATTTTCTAGGATTACCTGCTTTTAAACTTAATACTTTCCGGGCCTATTTTCTCATTTGTCATGTTAAATACGAAATAAAAAAGTAAAAGAATAACTAACATTGTCAGATCTTTTACTCTTTCTTTCTTTCTTTCTCTCTCTTTCTTTCTTTTTACTCCCGCCTCTAGTATTTTAATAAAGCAAAAGATAGCCGACAAATTGTTGTTTTACGAAGGCCACCAGCTCATAAATAATGTCAGCTATGACCGTTCTTAAGTATTTACATTGTTGTGAAGACAAACAATTAATATTTTAATGTAGGCCGTTGAGATGTATGTATAGTAATTGAACTGGAATGTTTATGATTGTACGGCGACTAAGCTTCTCAATTTTTCTCGTGCAATCATTTCATGAGTCGCGTGATCCGGATGTCAGCTATGAAGAAATACCGGTATTGTCAACGAATCTGTACTATAATAAACTAAAATTTTCAATAAAATTAAAGAAGGTTAGGCAGTTTTTTTAGTTAGTTTAACTTTTAATACTATATACACAGACAGAAAAGCTGTTTTTCCACAAACTATAAAATAATGAATGTATTAAATAATGCATTTCTGTACATAATAAATAACGACATTTAGATTAAAGTTAAGACCATTTAAAGAAACTGAGGTATATGTTTCTTACCAGTTGCGATTCCATTTGAAAACTAATAAGTATTTTCAATATATTGCTTTTTTTACCATAGTACAGACGTCTTGATTACAGAAACATCATTAACAGAGTAAGGATTTTTTTTTATTTAAACCTCTCTAGAACTATTTAAAACTATTTCTTTTTTTCATAAACAATCTGAGTAATTTAATATTCAAATTTTGTATCATTAGACCTATGTACATATAAAAAATTTGTAGGCTTTGTTAGCGGCTATTTTGAAACGTGCAAAATGAAATTCTCTCGGAAGTTTATTTCAAGTCGTCAGTGTCAGTGAATTAGTAACCCATTTGAAATGTAAAGATATAAATCCGCAGGGCTTCTCAAACTTCTCTTTACGACTGTTCAGAGTCTGGCTCAATTTCTTTTGTGTAATATATTTATTTATTTCTAAAGTTTTAAAAAGGATACGTAGTCAGTATATCTGAAATGGTATGAAACAGAACATTTCACTGACTACTGCTCGACCCTTTAGTGCCGCCGTTAGTGTTCAAGTTAAAAAAATTCTATTTGTGATTAAAAGATCGTCTAGATTTTGGTAAGTCTGTTTTTCATTTAGAAGAGATATTTTACAAAAACTCTAATCAAAGACTCCTAAATAACCTAGTCACAATCGAATAAACCAATTTTTAAGTAATTCTTGAAATATGTTAGCTAAACGACTGACAACATTTTATTTAAAAGTTGGAGAAAAAATAAAAAGCTGAATTTGTTATAAGTAAGAATCTTAACGATGATAGATGCCATTGCATGGCCAGGCTGCCATTTCTATAATGCTCTTGGAAGTTGTGCGACTACAGAAAGAAACTCCTATCGTAAATGACTTAACAGAGGTGATTGTACACGTATTTGCTTAAAAACGTCACCAGAACTACACGAATCTGATGTGAATTTATTAGAATTTATTAAACTTTAAAGTAATTGCATAAATTTATTTCTGCATGTATAAAAGAACTTGCCTTTAATAACTATAAATTCATTCATGTCTACTTTTAGTAAAATTGATTTAGTTTTTTTTTTCTAATTTTAACCAAGGTGCGCTTTACTTCTTTTATTTTCATGTGTGCACTTCTTCACTTCTTCTTTTCTTTAGATGACAATAATTGGAGGTAATATTCAATAATAACAAAAAAACTATAGAATTCCCAAATAAATAGTAGTAAAATTCTTAGTGTTCAGAATGAAGTTTTGGAAATGGTGATTTGCGATTGATGGACACGATTGTATAGTACGCCTAAGTTTACCACGAATTATACAGTTAAACGGCAATTATACAGTTGTAAGTCAATCGTCTTTAACAAACTTTTTTGTATAACAAAAATTCATTGATGGGTTCCAAACATATTGCCAATTCTCTTTATGTTATTTTTCAGTTCGTATTCTATTCTGATACTTGAAAAAGTAATTTATTTTATCTTAATTTACCAGCAAATGAGCGCTTTATCCTGCATCCTTTGTACATATCTTTATAATTATACCTTATAGATGCTAACTAATGGAATCTTCGAACCTTGAGATATACCTGAAACACACTCGTCAGTATCAGCGAAACTTCAGAAATACTCGTAATTGTTTTGGAGAATCGGTATTTATGGGGAATTTTTACAACATGTACAGATAAATTAAACAGCCTCATAATCGGTTGCCTACACAATGTGTTGACTTAGAAATGAGTAGCTGGAAAACCTCTTCTTCAATGACTTTTGCTCGATACGATTGCTATTGTTACGCCCGATAGTTCTTTAACCGACACAATACAAACTCTAAAGAACATGAGTTCGATGTACAACGATGTAAAAAAAATATGTATCGTGAATTGTATGAGCTGGTGCTTTCATAAAACCATTTGCTAAAATAAAATTTAACATTTTTGGCGATTTTATTCTTTTGTCCTTAAATTGAAGTATGCGAGTCCACATTACGAGTATGTCAGGCAGTGAATATTCACTAGACATGCCAGCGAAGTTGTGAACATCAAAATGTTTATGAAACGTGTAACTGGATTGTATTTGTATTGTATTGTATATTACATTGTATTTTTTTTTGTTTTCATGGAAGAAGGGAGATCGAGCAGACGGGTCACCTGATGAAAGTGACCGCCCGTGGATGCCTGCAACTCAAAAGTTTGCGATTATCCGAATCTCTTTCCACACCTAAAAATGTAGTGTCTTTTGCTACGTACTAAGAGCCGTGTGCTGAAGCATATGTGACTTAATTACTTGTTACTTTCTTAGTCTTAATGAGAATAACAATCATTAATGACTAAAAAAGCAAAAATAAATTATATTTAAAAGAACTAAAAAACACGCTTTTGTAACCAGCCAAACTAAAAAGTTGAAAATTTTTTTTTTAAGGTTCTAAAAGAAAAATCATTTTATCGTAAAAATGCGTTGGGTGCTAGATGTAAATTGTTGTAAAAATATTTTGCTGACAGATATTGGTAAAAGTAAAGTTATTATATTATAAAATAACTTGTAAAGCACCTCACTCTTTATATTACTCTTATTTTCTACTTTTTAGTTCGGCTAGTTACAAAAGCGTGCTTTTTTTTTAACTATAATTTATTCTTGATAGCATTAGTTTCTTTTTTAAAGACTACTCCCGCATTATGTGGCGATCGCTTAAACCACTACGCCATCCGTGCGGTCAAGTGTATCATAGCAGTTTTAATCACAACATTAGAAAATCTAACAATGAGCAAAAGAGGTTAAGAATTGCTTTTCATTCTTATACAAAATTCAATACAATATAATAAAATAAATTCTTAAATACAATTACAAAACATGTAAGGATAAAAAACAAGGTACACATTATCTTAATAAATATATTTTTGAAATCTGATTGTGAAATTGTGCTTCTTAGTTAAAATAATCGTTTATTTTCTTAGCACATAAAGATTATGCAAGATTAATTTTATTACTAGCTGTTGATGTTCATAAAAAATGTTTGCGTTCGATGCCTTTCGCTTTAAAATAACTTTTAAGACCTCTCGCGGTTCATGGTATTTGACTTTTAAATTGAGATCCTATCTCTTTTAAATCGGCTTTCATTCAACGTCTACCATCCGACTATCGACGGTAGTCTCAATGCTGCATTTTGACTACATATTCTAGTGAATACTAAGGTCATCCTTAATAGATTGTTTTGTTTAATATTGACTAGACTGTCAGATATTTGTTTGAAGTGAGGTGTCAAAATAATGTTTTGGTTTTGCGACAATTAACTTCATTAAAATTGCAAACCCCGATAGCTACGTTGGATAGATCTTGTATCATTAGTGAAAATAAACTTTTCTAAAAATAAAGTTGCAGAATGGATTTTCTTTAAATAAATCTCGCATATTTCTAAAAAAAACACATAGCAAATGAGCCAAAAGTAATGAAAACATAGGCACCAAGAATAATAAATGAGAACAGTTATAATAATTTTATCTGAATAATGACAATAATCTAGATTAAAAAGTTTGGCTTTCAATGTAAAATAAGATACTAAGAAATAAAACTTCCACTTATTTTTCTCGTCATCACGTTAACACACACATCTTTTTTCTCATTATCATAGCTGGATTTGAAGAAACAGTTTGACGAAGGTGACACTACGAATTATCAAACGAATGGTGAGTTTGACCTGGTAAGCTTCGACGCAATACGCCACAACCAGTACTACTCTTGCTGCGTGGAGCCTTATCCCGACATCACTTACATTATCAAGTTGAGGAGAAGACCCATGTTTTATGTTTTCAACCTCATTCTACCCTGCCTTCTTATCAACGGTATTGGTAAGTTAATAGTCGTTGATATTGGTAGTAGTTAATCGTGTCCTGTTTTAGATCAATTTCGAAGGGTATTTTTTAGATAAATCATTAAATGTTTCATTACACGCCACTGATTTTGAGGCGAAATTCATAGAATTCTGTATACAATAGTCTCATTTGCACTTAAATGTGTGTTCTATTAAAATCCATTTTATGTATTTTATATTTTAATAAAAATGATCATCGTTTTATTGTCTCCTTTTCAAGGGTAGGCAGAGTAAACATATTAAAATTTTGCCACTCCATAAATTATTATTCTTACATAATACTTTAGGTTCTGTAAAAACTTTTACTGTGTTTATAGATAGCACAAACGATTATTGTACCAAAGAAATATCAATTTTAGAAATAATATGGAAATAGCAAACTGACGTTTTGACCACCATTACGAATACGAACATTTGATTAGATATTTTAGTAGCGTTACAAGTACGTTGTCAAGTCAAAAACCCGAAAATCGTTTAATCTACAGTTATGTTTAGGATCTAAATAAGAGCTCATTTTATTAAAATACACCTGAAAATTATAAGCAAGTAGGTACTGTAATATTATAGCAGCAAATTTTCTCTTGTTTTCGATCCGGGTTGACCCTTCATTCAAAACTTCGTTTCGCCAATAAATAACGAGCTACTAACATTTTTTAAGATTGGCATTAGCCTTAATTCTTAAGGTACTTACACCGTTGTTGCCTATTTCAATATTCTTCCGGTATAAATTTATGAGAAGTTATGAAATATATCTTGTCATTACATACAATTATACTTGAAGTTTAAACATATAAAAACACAGTGATAAAAGAACAGGATTGCAGAGTTCAACTTCTTTCAGTACCACATAGGCATATTACTGAAGCGGTCTCAAATTTTTGACCGGTTTCATTACATACTTTATTTACATCTATATTCAGTCATTCTTAAAAACATTTCATTTCATACATTTAAATTTAGAAATAATTTAATTATGATTTTATTTTTATCTGCTAGCTCTACTAGTGTTCTACGTACCGTCGGAATCAGGAGAAAAAGTCACTTTGGGAATAAGCGCGCTTCTCTCCATGACTGTCTTCTTAATGACAATACGGGACACGTTGCCACCTACTGAGAAGACACCCCTTATTAGTAAGTGAATGTTGTTTAGTACTTAATAAAATGATGTGTGAAAACCTGTTACTTCGTATATTATAATTTTTGGAGTTCCGCGGGTCAGTATTAAAAAACTGAACCCTAAGATGTCTGCCGGTTCTGAATCTACTAGACCAATTCAATGGAATTTTCCATAAGCATGTCAACTCGTATCAACATTATATGATTTTTTAACCGTGGGAGAGCTATGCTTCGGCACAAATGGGTCGGCTCGACCGGAGTGATAATCGTGGGGACCTGGGGATGGGGGACTTAAAGGGCATAAAAGCACTCGTAACTCTTGTGTTGCACGCGTCTGTGGTCGGCGGCAGTCATTTACTACCAGGTGACAGGTTGAAAAAACTCCTGTAATAAATGATATTATATATGTACATACAAGAGATACGCCACCAACTCACAAAACGTGAGGGTCCTTATTAGGACCACATAAAGCGCGCGCATGTACTAATTAATTAAAAAAAAAAAGTGAAATGCCTTCTGTCGCTGTACTGATTATAAATAGCTGTCTCTTTCACTCTTATGCTTTCCCTATTTCCTATCGCACTTATAGCGTATGTTTAGTTGTAAAATGCATTAATAGATGTACGTATAGTGTTATGGAACAAATATTTAGTGCGTGCAGTTTGAATATAACCTATCTATATCTCCCTTAAAATATCATTACCTGTGACTCAAACACATGTGTAACGTAAATTAAATGATTTTGAATTAATTAAAATAATCGTCATTTTATCAATGCTCAAAGCTGAGTTCATTATTTTTGGGCTATAAATGACCAATGCTTGCTGTAAAACAGTGTACGTTCAATGTATATAATCAGTACCGAGGTTAAAGCTGTTATGTTAGAAGTGCCATTTAAATTGTTCATGTCTATAACAGTTCGACAGTTACTTGGTGTCAGATCAGATACTTTGGGGCTTGAAGATAATTTCATAAATTTATAAACTGAAGCATATATTATGTCGTTGCTTCCATTATTCCTCACATCGTTTTTTTTCTTTTTTGATTTTGAAACTTGTGCTCTATTGTGGATGTTGAGTGTTTTCCCACCTTTTTTTTCCTGTGCGGAAATCCCCTCGGATACCACCCACCGTTCAGATGGTTATGTCGGACTCGAACCGACCATAAACCGTACGCCGTCAGGGGTACCAGTTGCCGGGGAACTAGGTGTACCCTAGAAAGGAAATCCCTCCATAACGGGTCTTACCGCCACGATAACGGCGTGCCCAAATGTTATTCCACCTAAGGTATATTTACATAAGTGTGATAAGAAACAGTCAAACAGAATAAACTGTCTCTTAGAAGTAATAGGGGTTAAAGTGTGAAATTCTCGTTGTATAGTAATGGATACTTTGAATTGTGTTGTCATCAAACCTTCATGGTGCGAGATTTTCGTGTTTGACTTTTTTCACAAGATACCAATGAGGTTCTTCTTTAAAAAAAAACCATCCGATTTTCGACTTTCAATTGTATTTTTATTATTCAGTTTAGACGTGAAAGTTGGATTCTTCGAAAACCCGAGCCTTTTTCGAATACGAGTTTCGATGCGGAACTAACGCGGGAGAAACGGCTCACAATATCAACGCTACGTTTGGAGACTGGATTGCTAATGTACGCACCGAGCGTTTGTGGTTTAAACGTTATAGTAATTGAAACTTCCACTTGAAGAACGAACCACGTTTAAGGCCGCCCACACAAGTGAAAAACGCGGAATTGAAGGAGATTATGCAAGTCGATCGGAGTCAAACTACCCGGTAAATAGCGATATTACACGTTCCCCTACCTATAATATTGACGCTTTTGCTTCAAATCATTAAGATAAAAAGATATGAAAATTGGCTGCCTCATGATTTGACTGATCTGCAGAAAGAAATGCGTGTTGAAACTTGTGTTGCATTGTTGAATCGGTACAGAAATATAGGCATATTGGATCGAATTGTGACATGTGACGAAAAGTGAATTTTTATTATAACCGTAAGTGAAAAATGCAATGGCTGACCCTAGGTCAAACGCTGCAACAGTGCCCTAAAGCAAAGGTTACCAATAAAAAGTTAATGTTAACTATTTGGTGGTCTCTTCATGGTATTATTCACCAAAGCTTTCTCAGTTCTGGTCATTTGTCGACGACCGGATGGCGTAGTGGTTTGTGTAACGGACTGCTATTCCAAAGGTCGCGGGTTCGATTCCCGCTCAAGTCAAACATTTGTGTGCATGAACATTTGATGTTTGATTTGGTCTGGGTGTTTCTATGTATAATGTGTATGTATTTACAAAAAAAATATATATATGTATTAATATCAGTTGTCTAGTATAGTACAAGCTCTGCTTAGTTTGGGACTAGATGGCGTTGTGTGTATGTGGTAGAATATTATTATTATTGGAACTGTAACAATGATGGCGAAACTGGCATTGAAACAGCCCCGACTCGTGACTCGATCTTCACCATTATTGCTCCATGGTAACGCAAGACCTCACACTGCACGAGAAACCATCGTAATTCTACAGGAGCTGCAGTTAAAAACCATACATCATCCTCCGTACTCACCAGACCTTGCTCCAACGGACTACCATTTTTTTTGTGATTTAAAAAAATCTTCCAAAGAGGCAGGACAAAATTCTTTCACAAAGTTTGTCGAATCTAGATCCCCAGAGTTCTATCGTAAAGACATAAATGAACTTCCATTTATGTTAGATGACAGCAATGTATGGATAATGAGGGTAAATATTTTTTTATATTATTGTTGTTACATTTTAGAAAAAAAAAAACTATTTTCTAGTACAAATCGGCAATTTCATACTTTAAGCCCTAAATGATTGATTGTTTTGTTTTCCAATTTTAGTATTGTTTATAAAGTAATCGATTACAGACGTGATATTTTATATAATACTTGATAGTTTGGTAAATGTCTTAAATTGATACTCGTAAATGAATAGATGTACCTGACTACTAAAATAATATTGTGTGACTTGTGTGTGCAAGCAAATTATCAGGAAAATTACAAAAACTACTGATACTGTGCTAGAGTACTTCGGACTATCTTTTTTCAGAACCTACCAATAATTTGTTTCTTAAAAGTGGATTAAATTTGTCCATGCCTCCTTGATTGCGTCCAGAAGCTTTCTTATTGTCGACATTATAGTCATTCAATCATATGAACATAATTCTGGATTGTATTTCAATTGACTCATAATCAGTATTATTTTGGTATTGGTATTGGTTGTGGGCTCCGGTTTCCGCATTTAGACTCAAGAGTTGTCATTTTTGAGTTGAGGACAGGTTGGCTAGGTGAGCCAAGCAAGCTCCTTCCAGAAGCGCAGATGACTCCATCGGTACTATAATAACTTCATAAATAAATATACGTATGTATGTATGAATATATATACTTGGTAGGCCAGTAGAACAATTGTAACATATATTTGCGCTTTACAGGTCTTTATTATGGAGTTAGCACTTGCTTAGTGTCATTCTCAGCATCTTTATCCGTCGTGACACTCAACATATCTTACAGGCAAGTCTTATTTATTTATTCATTATAATTTACTTTCAGTTTGTTTTTTTAAACCTGAAGAGTTAGTTGGAATCAGTCAAACGACAACTTGGGTTCAACTCCTGTCGAGTAAAAATATTTATTTTTGTGCAAATATTTGAATGGAGCACATCCATTGTTCAAATAATAAACTAACAAATTAAAATTGATTTAAAGAAAAATATTTTGGCAGGTTCTGTAATCATAGTATGTGTTAATCTCGCTTGTGATCAGACCTATTTTGTGCGTATAGGTTAGATAGCATAGCCTATCGCTGTGTGTTTCCTTTATTATTTTTACTTTATTAAAAAAAAGTAACAATAAATAAGGAAAGTTTAGACCAACATATTTATAAAAATAGTACTTAAGTCCCATATAGTTTTTAATGTGTTATTTCCGTATATATTGCGTGAACGTATGGTGTTGCTCGTAGAGGAGTGAGAGGGCAGCCGGTGCCGAACGTGCTGCGCGAGCTCGTGCTGCAGCGCCTCGCGCGGCTGCTCTTCATCAACCTTGACACTGACGCACCAAAGGTAACCCATATTATTATCCTACTAAATAAAACTTAAACTTATTATTTTACTCATTTTTAGAGGTTTGAAAATTTCATAAACAGTTGAGTCATGTATAGCTAAACCGAGACGATAAAAATTATTGAAAAGAAAAGCAGAGTTGAAATGGATCGGTGGTAGGGGGTAGGTAAACGAGGGGATTTCCGCACAGAAAAAAAAAAGAGTCGAAATGGACTTAGTTAAAAATGACGGATAAAAGAGACGGGTTAAAATAAAATAGTAATATTTAATGTCATTTATAATAAATAAACACTAATCTTCACGAATCTCCAGTAAAAGTTTTCAAGAGATATTAGCGAGAGTGGCTGACATTGTCAATCTTGTTGAGACAGTTCGTTACTATAGAAAACATTACTCAGTCATGCTATTATCGTCTATCGTTATCTATGTATACGAATTTAGAATGTATTCGAACTACTTTTGTTTTAATAACAACCAGCAGCACTGTTCTGACCTGTGAGTTGAACATTTTATAAAACATATATAATAATGTGGCAACTAAAGCGCTTTTAGAAGCCTAAGGCGGGCGTTGTGAGAGCTTTAAGACAAGCACTTGTTCTACTGAGCTCCCAGCATTACACCATAAAAGCTTAACTATGAGATGTTTTAAGCAAAGCGATGAAAAAAATCATGAAAAATCTAACAGTTCAGTGGTCTGAAATACAATGTACCTAAATGTTATGAACAAATTAGTCAAATTTCAATCAATCAAATCAATTCAAATTATTTTAATACAACTGAAACTATTAAAAAGAAAAAAGAAACTACCTAGAAGGTTCTATTACTACATTTAAAAAAAGATCTTCAAACTTAAGATATTACCTCTCAAAATGTAAGTAAGTATTACAACACATAAATAAGAAATAAGTACTTTCTGATTCAGCATGTCTCTGATTAGATACAACCTTCATACGTTAACTTCAACACAACTGAAAAAAAAAATGTTTTCTTCAATACAAGGCACGCATTAAACTACAATTTAAAAAGTAATTTTTAGAAACTAGCCGTATATTTTCCAAGAAAATTGATAAAAGCACTATCAATACGAGATCTGACATGTACCTCTGGTATAAAAAATATTTTTATGTATTCATTCCCAGCGGTTGCCTTCGGCGTCGATCTGCTCCGTATATTTTCTGGCTCGTGTATCACTATTGTAAACGTTGTCCTGGGACCGCAAAGGTCGCGTCGCAAAAGAATTTATTTTCAGAACCTGTCCCTGGAGTTATAGTTTACTTTAGGCGGAATTATTGTACACATCACTTTGATATATCTTTATAATACGTTATCGTTGAGTGTTGTCATTGGAGACTTATTTTTTGTTATAAAAACATATAATACCTACTAACTACTAAATCAAATACCATGAGTGAGTGAGTGAGTGAGTGTACAAATAAATTTGATTCCTGCAACTTCTTTAGTAACATATTTTTATGAATGCATACTTGAATGGGTGCTTGCGGGTTTAGTTAAGAAAATATTTTGAAGTATTGGCAAAGGAAAAGTTCGAGTTCTTTTTTCATAATAAGTTGGCAGAACGGTTACAACGCTAGTACCTGACTGTATATTTTGATATTTACATTCATATATGTGTACATTTACGTATACTTTGTAAGTATATACTTTTTAGACCTTTACAAACATATATTATGTAGTATCCACTTTCCCCAATTCTATTATACTCAATTTGTATTCGATTTGATGTGTATATTTGTTTGTTTGTTTGTTGTTGGTTTGTTTTTGGCAAAACAAATTATTTTAAATAATATCAAATGTTATATTTTATCTTGGCACCTTCCACATTATCTTTCTCCATAACCTTAAAGGACGCAAAACAACGCAGGACACCAGCACTGCAAAAAGAAGGAAAACTTGAAACAAACCCTATACCAACCCGTCTGGCCAGCATGGTATAGTAGGCCAAAACCGCCTTCCTGAGGAGAGGCCTATGTCCAGCAGTGGACTATTAAAGGCTGTTGATAACCTTAAGGTTTACTGGTAAAGAATGTCAAGGGCATTAAATCCGCCTATGTACAATTTATGCATTCACTTTTGTAATAAAATAAAATCTTCTTCCTTTCCTTTCAAACTTTAATGTTTTATGCTTAACATCTGCTCACAAAATGTAAATAAAATAATTACAAATGACAACTTTAAAACACAATTGGTACGGTGCTGCAGAAACATACCTGGTGATAAGATATATAATATATTATAAGATTTGGACTTCTAGAGTGTTAACGTAAACTATATATAAAAACAATCGCTGATATCATGACATTATATTACGTTAAGTATCGAATTTCATATACATTGCTCCTAACTATCCCAACTGCTTCTCTGTTAACATTTTGTATTATAGCTTATTTGCTTGAATTGGCGACTGTTGCTGACAGCAAAGTGCCGCTTTATGTAGTATTGCCTCACAACAAAACCACTCCCATATTCAAATTTTCTACAGTGTCGGCACTTGTCAGTAACAATTCTGGATGATCTATTCTAATTATTATTATTCGAAATATGAAAATTAGTTGAAAACTGGCCGTATTGAAAAATATGCTGAAGTATGGAGTTTGATTGGCTAATTCTCTACCGCAAAGTCGTATCCATTAAAAGTTCTTCATAAGTCCGGCGTCGAAGCTGATTTTCTCGTTAACATTACGTTTATCTCTCTATATTTATTCGAGACTTTATAGATGCTGAACTACATGATCGTAATAAATATTAATGAGATACAAGAATTTATATTAAAACTTGTATTTTTTATAAATGAAATCGTGTAAGGTTGCTGATTTTGACAGTCAATGTGCTTTATTTAGGTCGATAGGTCGTAGTCTTATGTCTACTATTGGTCTCTTAGTAAGACTTTTCTGATGGAATGGTGATTTTATTTGACTATCAAAATTAGAACGATTATCCAACTAATATTGGACAGAGGAGGGGATCAAGAACAAATATATAGCGCCCTCGATAAAATATACATTATTTCAGTTAACAATTTTAATAACGTAGTAAGATTTGTTATACTATTGTATGTGTGATGTACTAAACTGGTGTACAATAAAGTTTATTCTATTCAAGATTAAATTAATTACATTAATGCAGCGATTAATACACTTCTAATACTATGATATGTTATGTCTAAGTGGTTATGCAAGAATTGACTCAAGTTAAATAATTTATTCTCTATTAAGGCAATATCCTAGCAGGATCACAATGCTTCTGAACATTAATAATATTTATTTTTACGTTGTCAGGGTGACGGCGGCGCGCTGGCTGCGGGCGCGGTACAAGTGAACCCTCGCACGGGTTCGAGACTGAAGTCAGAAGTGCAATGCGATGGTATACCTATGACACCGGCTTCACCACGGTTTGCACGGCACAACCACAATCACCTTGGTGAGAAACTACCATAAAAACCTACCGCCCTCAAGTCTCATCATAAAGAGGAGCCACCATGGGTATGAATCTTAAAAGATCTATTGGCTAGATCCATGATGGATCTAATGACAATTATTTCTCATTAGGTCTATTTAAATAAAAACTTAAATAAAATAGATCTAACGAGAGTTATTTTATGTTAAATATAAATGCTACAAAAACAAATGAATATAGCCAAAACAAGTGAATATCACTAATTTAAACAAGTGAATAATGAATTCCTGACACCTGTCTTGATGAAAACGATTCTTTGCAAAAGAATGAAGATGGGGCAATGAATGAGGAGATAAAATAGATTTATTTTAAAGATAAATTACAATTATTAATTATTTTACTTATAAAAAAAATCTAATATTCCTTAGTGGAAAATAAAAACTAAGGAATTCCAAATTTGCCAATTTCGCCATTTGCGAGTGCAGCTTGCAGTGCAGCTTGCATGTTATTTTGAGTATATTCGTTTTACGACGTTGCGCTAGGATATGACTTTTTTTAAAAACCTTTTTAAACATTCACAAAAGTTGAAAAATAGTGTTGGTAAATATTTTTTCCTGGAGGAGAGTATCCTAAAGATAAGAAAATCAATCAACGAATTTAATGATACTGGTCCAGTGCAATTTCATTTTGAAGTTTTGTAATTTATACAACGTCAGACGACCTTTTTTATAAAGAACATGTTGATGGAATTTGTAGCCCTCGCATAATAATACTTTACAACGACCACTGTTAATAAATTTCAACACTTTGTTCTCATTCATTTTCAGAAAAAAATATAACATACTAAACTGCAATTTCAATATGTCATAAATATTTACTTAAAACTCATATTAGAACGACTCATCATGTTAGTTGAATAACAAACACAACATTGTTTATTTATTTTTATCGATCCAGTGAGAAGGTAAGTTCAGTTTATCTACAACTATCTGATGAGAGACACATTTGTCATTAGATCCATCGTGGATCTGGCCAATGGAACTTCTGAGATTGAATGCAACTATGGTAGATTAAGGGTTTATCTATCTCGAGTATAGATTAAGTATCTACAGTAGTTTTGTAATTATATTACATATGTTAGCAGTACTTTAATACAATAATTAGCTATCGCGTATTTGTAACTTTACTAGTTGGGACATCTGTCTAAGTATTTTTAGATCAAGCATTATGTGACATTGTGTCAATGTTTAGTAATGTAAGTGAAATATTGTTCAATTTAAGTTCACATTAAATAAAATGAGACAGAAAAGACTGAGGGGTAAATTTTAAAATTTTATAAATTTCCGTAGAGTCTTCTTTCTCTGAATACTAATAGATAATCATACTTTTCAAACAAATACAGTCTAGCTTCTTATTGTTTAATGTTCCGACGATTTAAACTGCGGGGTTAAATATATGTATTAGAGAATTTCTGAAAAAACTGAGAACGTATTGTAAGGGGAGGAAAACTTGAAACAAACAATATACCAACCACTAAACCCTTTCTAAGGAAAGACCTATGTCCAGCAGTGGACTATTAAAGTCTGTTGATGATAACTGATGAGAACCTTCTACGGCTAAAACAGTCCATAGCACGGCAGGGATATACCACTCGTTGAGACAATCTCTCATAGGTTTATACCATTGAATTCAATCGGGATCAATGTCCTAAGTTAAAAATACTGTTATCACTTAACCGTGTAATCTATTGATATCTGAACACCTTCAAAGTAAGAAACAAAATTTATAAAGAATATGGATTTTTAACGATAAAAATCTTTGACTACTGGTTTTTATCAAAATCGTAGGTTAGATTTGAGTTAAAGCTTTATTGTATTTATAGGGGAATACTAAAAATATTTTAAAATTCATCACGGTACAACATTGGCTCGCATAGCCCTCGGCGTATTGTTGGGTTTTTGTGAAGTATAAAGAATAAAATGTAACCGACTTTAAATTTCAGTTTTCTAGTTAAATAAGAAAAGTAATTAATTTTACCTTTATTTAAATATTTGCAACGGTCGATGAGAGCTATTATGCTAGGTTGAAAGATTCCATTAAACTGTATTTAAAAATATTTTTTAACCCATTCTTTGATCTACCATCTTTTTTCACTTTTGTTAGGCCGGAAGTATTACTAAAAAGAATACCTTTTGCTGTAAACTTTTTTTTTTACACACAATCTATAAAAACAAAGAAAATGCAGGACAACCCGTTTGATTCCCTATCTCTTTAAGTCCCAAGTTTTACTGAAGTCCCCAAAAGTGTTAAAATAAATGGATTGCCACACAAATAGGGACAACAAAAAACACACTAATACTATTCCATACAATTTTTAAAGGCACTTTTATATACACACTGTCATGAACCATCATAATATTCATACACTTTACTTATTGTCTTTGAAAGCACTAGTTCCATAAATCATGATGTCATCCCAAGTACTTGTTAATATATTATATTTCCAAGTCGTACAGATGATCTTAACCGAAATTCAAGGAGGTTGAGTATTCGAATTGAGACGTTGGCAAATAAGTTGCATTAAATAATTAAAGTAAGTGTGAAATCATATAGCCTTAAGGAACTTCTTGTTGGCGTATTTATTAAACTTTCTTTGAAATCTCGTGATGTGTTTATTGTTTATCTCTCTCTCTCTAGTGTCGGTTCAGCCTGGGTGTGGATATGGTAGTCTGCATCGGTGTTGCATCTCGTGCGGATGGTCTGACTCCACCGGTTCCCGTTTAGCGCTACTCTTACGACCGTGTAGACATTGGAGTACGATAGCGTCTCGGTCTTTAGCTTGGTTAGTCCACGTTGTTGGTGCACGATCACGCGATCCTTTGCTTTTAGTTCCCAATTAGAATTCATTTTTCAAATTTCTATTGCCACTGATCACTGTGTAATCGCAATATGAGATTGGCATAACCAGATTAAGAGAGTTTCTTTTGGAAGCTGGTCAAGATCAATGCATTTGTATGTTTCACAGTCTAAGGTCCATAAATCATCTGTCTTTCGCGGGTCAGGGTTGTCTACGTTTCTACTCCATATAAGTAGAATACTTTATAGACATTGGTATTTTAAAATATTGTAAGCAATTTTTATATTATTGGTCATATCTTCCCATTAGAATTTATTTTCATTCAATGACTCTATTTAAAATTTTGAATACATTGTTTTAATTCAAATATATTGTAGCAACCTTATACATTAAGTTTTCTTAGTAGATCATCAGGTTGTAAAGATACCTAATGATATTTAAATCTCATATTGTCCTCTTGACCGATTTAAACTAAGAGAGGGAGAGAAGTTACTCTGGTATTGTGTATCTACTTTCCTGTACCGGAAGACGGACTCAAATTTTACATTAATAATTAAAAATATTTTCACCAGGAATATCATCAAATGTAGGTCCAACAAATACTGGCAGCGGTGGAGCATGTGGTGCAGGGGCCGAGACTGTGTGTGCGGGCACGTGTCCCAAGTGCGCATGCTGCGGTTGTACATTACGCGAGGCTGCCGCGCGACACGAACAGAGAGTCGCCGCCAACGAACGCCTGGAGCGGGCTAACCTTGAATGGAAACAGGTGAATTAATATTAATTGTAGCACAATCATTTTCTCTCCTTATACCCAGATGTAAAAGCTTGTAAAAACGTTACGTCGATTTCTGACAGTATTTATCGACAACACTTGTCTTACAATTTTTGTATTAAGTACCAATTATTGCGCATGCTTAATATTAGGTCTTTACATATGAAATTAGCGTTTTGTCGTACTGACCACTTGGATCTGAAATATCTTCTCTTTGGTTAAAAATTCCAAATTCAAATTTATAAATTAATTTAGCTTGTACATTTGAGTTTTGAAAACAGTTATTCATTTGATTTTCCTCATTATTTTTTTCTTTGGCGTCGCTTATTACCGCACAATGGAAAACATGAAATATCGGTATATTTAGGAGTACGAGTTCTACCGTTTCACCAGTGCTGCAGAAACAGCTCGAAGGATTAATGATGTGTACGGCGCTGGTGTCGCAAAAGAAAGCACGGTACGTTTTTGGTTTCAACGTTTTCGTTCTGGAAATTTCGACCTTCAGAACCAACCCCGTGGACGGACGGAGACCAAAGTGGAAAATGAAGAATTAAATGCTATTGTGGAAGCGGATACATCACAAAGCACTTCAGAGATAGCTGCAGGCTTCGGAGTAAGTGATAAAACTGTATTAATCCACTTGAAGCAACCTCATGAATTGAGTGAATCGAACTTGCAAACACGCGTCGACTGCTGTGTTACTTTGCTCAAACGACACAATGATGAAGGGATTTTTAATCGAATCATTACTTGTGATGATAAGTGGATACTGTACGATAATCGGTAGCGCTCGTAGAAATGGCTGAACCCTGGAGACCCACCCAAATCCTGCCCTAAACTAAATTGACTCAGGAAAAGTTACTTGTGAGTGTTTGGTGGACTAGCGCCGGTGTCGTTCACTACAGCTTTCTAAAGCTTTCTAAGCCAAAAGATTACAGAAGGTATCTATTATCAGCAACTGCAAACCATATACGAAAAACTAGCTGCTAAACAACCGAGATTGGTCAATCGTTCTAGGCCACTGCTGCTTCACGACAACGCAAGACCACACACTGCACAACAAACAACCACTAAGTTAGATGAGCTACAATTGGAATGTCTGCGATATCCACCGTACTCACTTGCTCCAACAGATTGCCATTTTTTTTCGGAATTTGGACAACTTCTTACAAGGATAAAAATTCAACTCCGATGCGGCAGTCCAAACCTCCTTCAAAGAGTTTATTGATTCTTGCCCCCATGGTTTCTTTACTAAAGGGATCAATGAACTACCTATGAGATGGCAAAAGTGCATACATAACAACGGTGCATACTTTGATTAATTAAATATATTTTACAAAAAAAATGACTTTATATTCCACCCGTTACAAAACGCCAATTTCATATGTAAGGACCTTATAACAGGGTATGCGTTTAGTGCAGACTACTCGATATGTAATATGTGGTGTACAGCTGAACGTCGTCGTCGCTAATGCATTCTAAACAAAATCAATATAACGAAAAATGTTCAATACAATTATTTTGTTACGTCCCCAACTGAAACACATCGTCGTAAGGCAGGCACTTCGTTTCTTCTTCTACATATCTAATTTAAAAATATTTCTAACTATTAATAATGATGGCGGCCTCGAGGCAGACTACCTGCCCGATGGTCAGACGACTTGTGAGGGTGGTAGGGGCAATAGGGCAAGGGGTAGCAATGGATCTTGCTGGCACAAAACCGCCAGGAGTGACGTGATAGAGACGAGGCCTTTACCCAGCAGTGGGTGCAACACGCTGATTAGATAGATAGATAGATTAATAATGATAGATATGAATATTAATCACAAACGTTTTATTCGACTGCCTCGTTTATTAATTTACATTTATTTTATCATGATTCATCACAAATATATGTTTTCTGATAGAAAAGTATAAGCTCTAAGTATAATATGTTATGAATTTTTAAAGTTCTAGCTTAAAGCCAATAACAACATATTTATTAAAATACTTTTAGACGTCTTTAAATGAAAATATAGCCGTAATCTTATCTCAAAATATGGAACTTGTATAACAGTTAGATAGATAATTAAAATAATAAATAGAGATATTAAATCACAGTAAACCCCTTCCGTCAACAAATACAATTCTCAAGGCACGCAAAAGAGATTAAACGGACATTATAACATAGTTTTGTTTATACCTTTGTGTTGCGGTTTTGCCCCGCTTTCGTGGTGTTAGTTACTTTTAGAGACGCGTGAGTGTGAATAATGATTTCTATTTGAAGGCATTAATTTACTATATGTTTTAAAAGATTTGCGGTAGTTATTAGTAAACTTTTCACATATGATTTTGTGGAATGTGCTATTGTTAAAATGAAAGATCCACATACTCGTAAAATCCTAGTTTTAAAACATTTACTAAAATATTCTTAATTATTTGGGTGAACAGAAAAAAGAAAGTACAAGTTTTAAAATATTTATAAGAATAAATCGAAACATCCAATCCATAAACAGATTCGCTGAAAACTTCTTTGGAAACTTGTAAAAAAAGTTGGGAGAAAAAATTAATTGAATGTATGTTTAGAAAATCATTTAATACTAGTGTGTAAAATTTGTGAAGCTAAATCAGGCGTTTTATCGACCGTTAGAAGTCGTAGTCGTCGTATCCCCATTGCCCTCTCAATTTGATTCGTGCCGTTCAGTGTCATTGAGAAGAACTTTTGCTAATGGAAAGGCACTCTAGTTTATCGAATGGCCTGTTGACCTAGTGGTTAGTGACCCTGACTGCTACGCCAGAGGTTGTAGGTTCGATTCACACCCAGGACAAATAATTGTGTGATGAGCACGGACATTTGTTCTTGTCTGGGTGTACTTTATCTATAATATGTATGTATTTAGAAATGTATATGTACGTTTATCAGCAGACCGGTTACCATAGTTTAGGATCAGGACGGGTGTGAAATGTGTGAAAATATTAATAATAATTAAATTATTAGAATTATATGAAAGAATTATTTAACGCATTGAACCCGGTTATACCGTCTTAAAAGGTGCCTGTTATCAGTACTAGTAACTGTAGCTACCGGGTCAAGTGACTGCAGTGAACTGGATTCTGCCATGACATTGCTGCAGCCCCGTGGAAACATAATGTGTCTTCAGTCAGTTATTTATATTGCACATCATACTAGAACAACATGTTCTTAGACAAGAGAAGGAAGGATATTGTATGTGTCAAACCCCAAAACAACGCATACGTACATTAACAAATTTACGTACATTAACAAGTCTTTTTTAGCACTATATCAATGACTATATCTATATAATAAGATAAACAAAGTTTTGAAAATATTATATTTAAAAGTTACTTTATTGTGACATAGGTGGCCAGTGTATAGGGGAAACATGATAAACATAATAGATTTATTTTTTGCATTCCTCTAAATATGTCCATGTGTGTATGCACTTTCAATATATCACTTAACAAAAAAATTTAAAATTACCTTTATACTCGTGTATGTGTAATATATATTATAAAGATAGACGCTCACTCGAATAGTTCCTCATGTTTCATTGATATCAAGAATGTATGAAGTAACAGATGGTCCTACATATACGCAAATGTCTAATATATTAAGTTATCGGAACAATGCGCACAGAGATGCTTGCGGTTCCATCCCTATTTAACTCTGTCTAACTTGTAAAACTGATATTATCTCATATGAAGGTGTTATTTGTGATATATTTCATTGCATCTCGTTTTATTTCTCTTTGGACTAAGTAAAAAGTTTTTTGGTTTCGGCTCTTCGTCATATGTGCAAAACTGAAACCATATTCTTTAAAATATTTTCTATACAAATCAATTTCAGCTGGTCGTGTGGTTGTTAGCTACTTTAAGTAAATTTAAATAAATTTGCGAACAATACCCATACACCTTTACATCGTTTACGAGGCGAACCCTGTAACATCTGTACTTGATCGTTAATAAATTCCAAATTCTCAATTCTGAGGTAAAACCATGACATGCATATCATGAAACTGCGTTGTCATCGAAATTGTACCAAGGTTCTAAATTTTACAACCGTATTACGACAGAAAATGGTTTTACTTTATGCTGCAATATTTAAATCAAAGTAAACTTTCCTAGATAACTTTAAAAAAAGGATAAATTGATTTCGATGTGCCAAAAATTGTAAATAAGGCCTTGATAAGATTCAATTAACGCAACTTTTTTTACATTGTATATTTATAGTTTATTTATGCATCAAAACATTATATCGATATTTTGTGATCAAATCCCTTGTGTTCCCGGGGTTTGTAGCAATTTCCATACACTCAATAAATTTGTGATTGCCATAAAAATTGAAATAGCAAATTCTCTGCCAAATATAGATTACTCTGTATTATTCTTGATGGAACATATGTAATGGTAGAAGTTTGAAACATTCATACATTTTTATGTTATCTACTCTAATTTCATGTACGCCCATTAAAGTTGCCTGAAAAGTTATTGTAATGTTTAATATTTAATCAAAAGATAATATTCCTAAACCTCACACATCTCACACACGGCCGTCTGATCCCAAACTGGGCAGAGCCTGTGCTATGGTAACCAGACTGCTGATAAACATATTTATGTATTTTTAAATATACATATTATAGATAAATTTCACCCAGACGCAGAACAGATGACCGTGCTCACAACACACTTATTTGTCCTGGGTGGGAATCGAACCCACGACCTCTGGCGTAGCCGTCAGGGTCACTGCCCACTTGACCAACAGGCCCAGATTTCGTTCAAGTTTTGTGATATAGGTATAAAAAATTGTCCATACACTGAAGTTAGGTTCACAAATTATAATCCAACTTGAAAGAGACATAGGCCAAATTGTAGGCCATAAACAATCAACATTTTTAAATTTATATAAAAAAATATATATAGGAAATCTCTATACCAAATTGCATCTAAATCACCTCATCGGTTATCTATTCCCCATACAAACGACCCTTCACCCCCCTTTTCAG